CTGGGGCAACTGCTGTTGTTTGGGATGAGTAGAATTAGAACATTCATAATTTGACACTCCTGGGCCCCAGAGATTCTAGGGAAACCTGCACTGCTTCTCAGCTCCCATCAGTCTTCTCTCTCCAGATGTTGGCTGTCTTCCTCAGATAGCCTCCTGCATGGAAAAGTATCTTCTGGATTGCTGTTACATCTCTTTTTTAATTCATTCACCATGCTCATAACAATCAAATATGAAAATGGATTATTTATGCTATAAATCTTCAATTTACATTTCTTGTCTCTTCATCCACTCTTGCTTATTTCAGGATTGGCTCCTTATCAACTACTTTCCTTCACTGCCTGCTGATTTAGGATTCAAGTCTCTACTTCAGTCTGTGTTTGTCAAGAAAACTCCTTTATACAGAACAGCAGAAGGCAAAATGCACTACATGCAGGACCAAGATACACACAACTGAGTCTGCCCTTCAAGGAATCTGACTCCAAATTCCCTACTCACTGATTTAAATGTTTTCTTTTCAGCCATCATCTTTCCAGCCTTTAAATTGGTGAATTGCAGCCTGGAAACATTAGACATGTTTTCAAGTTCCAGTTATTATTAATGTCGTTTCTTGTTTGGTTTATACTCCATGCAGCTTCTTTATTTCATTTCTTTTTACTTTTGTTTTGACATTTTGGGTTCTGTGTGTTTGCCAACGCTCTGTGGCTGTTTGGGCTCTGGTAATACTCCTGACTAAAAGTCTCATCATTTGTTTGTTGTACCTGTCATACTGTTGAACGCTCCATTCCTTCAGGTGCAATATTTAGTTTTACTGGCTCTTGAATCACATAGCACTGTCTCTGCTCATTGCAAAAATCTTTCAGGTGGCATGAAAGATTAATGCTATCTGTACTGCTTTTCTCCTGTCCTGCAGTGTTGCCACAGTCTTTTGTACTTTTCTTTGTAAGTTATTGACGAAGTTTTCTTTTGGTATCTGTCAGTTATTTCTCTTCTGTTACCATGATCCAAATGTGTAGGAAGTAGTTGGCTGTTCTGCTGTTGTCTTAAAGGTTTCTGCAACAGCCAGAATTTCTCACTGGCAGCCACTTTTATTACCAAAAGGCATATATCTGTGAGTAGCATTCTTCAAAATAGTGTATTTGATTTGCACTTACTGCCAGAGAATGAAGACATAGAGTCTGCTGAAACTACAGCTATATGTTTACATTTTTTAACAAGATGATGTTTGTTTTTCTGCATTGATCAACTTCTCATGTAGTTTTTGTCATACAGAATAAAAAAGGCACTAATGGTTTACAAAATCCCTGTTTGCTTCATGATTTTAAAACACATGCAACATCTGCAGCAAGCTCCTTCTGAAATAAAGGCTACACATACAAACCTGGCTTTTGTGCTAGTCAAAGAGTAAGTAAACATAAAAATGACACCATTACAACAAGTGAGTTTCCAAACCAGGCTGCTGCTTCTAATGGGACAAGTTGATAGCCCCCCACTTCCTTAAGATGGCTTAAGGTATCTGACAAGAGGTGATCTTGAGCAAGACAGCAAGGGCAGGTCAGATGGCTGTGTCAGAATGTAATAAAACAAAAGATCTATTTCAGAGTCTGCATAGATCCTCAGTTGCTCCAGTTTGTTACAGTGGCTAATTATACCCCTTCTCATCCTTTCTTCTCGGTTCAGTAGGTGGAGCTGTAACATCTGTTTAATTTATCCTTTCTTCAAAATGTACCACCGCGGGTGCACTGAGTAGTTAAACTTGGGTTTCCCAGCACTGCATGTATTTATCCAGTTTATGTAAGTCAGCATTTTGCATCAGTTTGAAGTTGTGCATGGTAAGGAACCTTGAGATCTGTGCTCAATCTGCTAGTTTGGAAAAGCAGCCGGTAGCTCTGTTTCTAATAAGAAATCTTCAGTTCTTGGATGGCTGTTTTCTACCAGTCGAATATGTTTAGGCTTAATTTTTTGAATTTGTGACTTTGGGGAAAATATATAATCTCTGCTATATTTTTTCATATTTTACCAGTTTCCATTTCGAAACAGACTCTTGAGAGCAATCAAATTCATGAAATCATCCCATTAATCATTTTCAGTTTTGGAATTGCTGCAAATTCACTGTCAATTGTTAGTTTTCTTGTTCACAGGTAGCTTGCACTTCATATGTCAATGTAAGCTTTCTAGGTAAATGAACACTATTACATAAATGGACATTTCTGGTAACATTTGTGAAATGGCTCTTAAAATTCAGCACTAGTAGAAACAACAACAAAAAAGAAACAAAGTGTGATAATGAGACTAATTCACTCTTCAAAAGTTATAGCATCATTTGAGCATTGTCCCATCATCTTAAATCATTCTTAATTCTAAGAACCCTTTCCTATTTCAATTTTCTCTGAAAAGCTCTCTGTGTAAGCAATGAGAATATCCAAATTAGCTTTAAAGATCACAAAACTGCTACTCCTTTTTAGAGGAAGAGCTGTCTTGTAGTGATCTCTTGTATGCAAAATTATCTTAATGGTGTCTTCTTTCATCTAAGTATTCTCCCTTGAGCAGTTTGAGTGCTTTCTGATTCTCTCTGGTTGCAGCAAGCATTGAAAGCTGGTGTCAGAAACATCACAAATTTAGGCTTTGTCTCCTTTCGGCTCCAAGAGCTTCTTTCATAGGGAGCCAGTGATATCATTTCACAACACAGGACATAAACCAGCATTTCCCAACCTTTTTCTTTTCAATTTTTCAGAGGAGTATTTGACGACCATGACTTTCTCCTTTTCTGTTGCTGCCCATGAATATCCCGTGATGCAACAGTCAGGCTGTTGCAGTGAGTAGCTGTAGCCTCTGCTCCTCCATCACTGCCTGCTCCTTTGGCGTATGGTACTTCCCAGGAACAGGGGAATGTTTAATAGAGCAGGTCAGAGGAATGGAAAGAAGAGGGTTCTTTTAGCATTTATGCCTCCCTTGGTTAACCTCTGTTGTCAACTCAACTTTAATATGCCCAGCTCAACTTTAATATAGCTTGTGTTCTGCTCAGCACTTTACCTTGTATATTGGCTGCATCTCTTGGCTAACTTGTGTATTAGCTAGAAACAACCAATATAAACAAGGATGAGAGAAGAGACAGTCATTTATAAAATACCTGCTTTTCCTTATTAGTTGTTGTACAAGTTTTTCCAGGACCTCTAACAACCTGCAGTTATATATTTATTTTTAGCATGAAATATAGCTGTCTCGTTCAGAAAATGTTATTACCAACACTAGTGTTATCCAAGAAATTTTATTTGTCTAATCAACCTAATGTCAGGTTGAGTTAAGAAATCCATTTGTATGAATCAAAGAGCAGCCTGTGGTGGTGGTGCATTTGTTCACAATGCTTGTTAGGTTCGCACACTAGGTAGCTTGGGTCCAGGCTATGCAGATTATGATTCCCTTCTCTCATGAAATTCAAAAAGCCATGAACAGTACTTTTGAAAATGGTATCTCTATGTTGAGAAGAAATTTCTGGTTTCTATATTGGCTTCAGATGGCAGATTGTGTTTTCAGAACATGTGTTCAGCAACGTTGCTAGCTAGTGCTGAGCATTGCTCAGGTGGTGCTCTGTCAGAAGGTAAATGAGCGATAACTGTAGGAGTACACTGTATGACCCTTCATGTATTAAGAAATGCTGTCTGCTTCTGTTTCAATGGATGTGTAAAATTCACCCTTCATCTTGATCATCATTAGAAAAAGCAAAAAACAAAAAACAAAAAACAAACAAAAAAAAAACCAACCAAACACCTCCTTTCCCAAATACCAATGTACTGATTGCAAATGCTATATACCATAAAATTATAGCCAAGAAGCTAAATTTCTAAGTTTTCTAGAGCAGAGAATTGTGAAACTCTCATTCTGAGACTAAATAAATTACATTTTACTAATTACCTGGCCATCAACCATGTCGTCATCTGTATAACTCCAAGTCTGCCATCCCATTCCATGCACTTCCCATTTGGTTTTGTCAAAAACGTTGCTGTGAAGTTTGGGTTTGTATAACAAGTATTTTCAGACTGTTGTAGGTTATGTTATTCTCTATTCTTCGTATGTGTCTATATCTGCAATCAAATTTTATTTTCTCATTAAAAGGGACTTATCGTGAGCCATCTTGTTGTGTGAATGGGGGGATATGTTGCTCAGCCCAATAAATCTCTGAACAATTTTTGCTGTTGTTGTGTGAACGACTGTGATTCTGAGCCTGAGCCCTCCCAGAGCTGTCTCTCCAAGCTCCTTCAGCCCTGAGATGCCTGGAGGTGGAAAAGCACTCAGCATCTCACAGATACCAAACTAATGATTTTTAAATCTAATGTTGCCGAGTTGTCATGGCAATTATCAAATGAATATTCGTATTTCCTGTAAGGCTGTGTTTTATAATGCTCTAAGCTACACTTTATGCAGGCTGTCTAGGCAAACAAGCTGTAAAAGAAGTTAAGTGCCAATTAAAGTGCTGGCAAGAATGCTACTTGCATGAACTCCATGAGGCACTGTAGCATGCATAATCTCGCTTAAAAAAATTCTGAAATGTTGCCTTTCACTTGCAATATGATATAGCAACACCTGGTTTATAGGACCCGGGGTATTCCTATGGAAGATCAACAATGACATACTTCTGGATAAGTACCCAGTTTTTTTTTTCATGTAATTGTTCCAAACAATATTAAAAACAAACTGCATGAAAGGTTTTTGAAATGCATCCTGCTGGTAATATTAGACAATAGAGAAAATCAACTGAACAGTTTGCTCTTAATTACATATTTGCTGTTAGGAAGTACTTAGCAGCTTCGGTATTGAATTCTATTAGTCCTCCAAGATCAGGTTGTAAGCAGAGTATATGATTATATTTCCCTAAGTTTACATACACTGCGTTTTTTTTTTTTTATATTTCTTTGTTTAAATCAGCTGTGCTGTGGAAAGAACAAATAAATGTTTTTTCTTCTTTACTTATTTGCACAGTCTTCTTTCTCTCTCCATGAACACAGGCGAATTCTGTTTAGTTTCTCCAGGGGGTGATAACAGCAAGGCTCCTTCCCTCTGGAAGCATATACAGTTTTGCTGGAGTAATAAAAACACTGAAGAGGAGAACCAGCAGCAGGCGCAGGTAAGTAACTTGCTAGCCATTGAACCTAAATTACTTTCTAAATTATTATTTTGACAGTGTGCACATTTTGTAGTGTTGGAAGGAACCTGTAGTCTTTAACTATGTTCCACTGTTTGCATTATTTCTAGTTGTCAAATCCAGTGATTTTATTTGTGTTTTTTTTTTCCTCATCTCACAGGACTGACTTTGATTTCATTTTCTTACCTCTGTGGAAAGCAAAGCAGTAAAATCTTTCAAGAGCCCTGCATCTGGGTATCCTGCTGCTGCCTTCAGCCCCATCTCCTGAGCAGTAGAAGTGGTGGCTTCGCAGCCTTTTCAAGTTGTTCAGATTCTCTTTCCAGCATGCAGTGTTATTTAGAAGCATGAAGACAGCTCTGAGAAAAGAAACAGTTTTGCATCAACATGGGGCACAGCTCATATTCTCTTTTACATGAGCTTGTAACTTCCTCTGTTTTACCTGATATAAATGTAAATTGATTTTCCTCCTTGTTCCTGTGATGAAGTATCTTCAAGCTGTGCTACTGAACGGTCAGGAAACACAGAATGAATGTGTTAGGAGCTTGAAGAAAAAGGAAAAGTTGCAAAATATGAAAAGAAAGGTTCCCCTATGGACAGAAAGAAAAGTGCTGTAGGATGGATGCATGCAATACATACCTGTAATCAGTTTCTAAAACAGTGTCTTTACTGGAAATGTTAGAGGAAAATAACCCATTCCTGGGAAATCAAACCAAACTCATGTCAAAGCAGATGTTCTGAAACATATTGTTGAGCAATCTTAGGATAGCAAGGGTGTTGCACAGGAGGATGCCATCAGTCTGTAAATGGTGTGTTTCTCTAGAAGAATATTCCACTGTTCTAAGCCAGCTAGTATTTTCCTGTGCTAATTTCTGCATGTAGCATTCTGTTGTTTCATTGCAGTTTTCTGTTAAAAACAGTTGGGCTCATAACCCTTCCTCATGAGAATGTTGTTATCCACTTGGAGTATTCCTTTGGAAAGAGGGAAAGAAATGCAGAATTTGGATTGTTATCGTTGGCCAGATTGCCTTCAGAGCTGATTTGGGATATCACTGGGAATACTTCCAGAGAAAACCAGTATTCTGCTGTATTCCATAGGTATTCTCTATAATTTTATCTCCTCAGCACAGTGTGGCTCTGTGATCTTTGAAACAGTACTGGAAATTAAAGCTACCTCAGTTATCTATTTTGAAAAGTCTTCTCTTCAAGCAAAGTGGCTTGTCCATCATCATGATTGCAGTAGGAAATACTTCTGCAGCTCATATTCACCACATCAGCTGCCAGTGTTCAACAGTCCCTGACTTTCTGATGTCAGAAAGGAGGAGTTTATAAATGGATTGTGCTATTATTTTGTCTTTCACATTTACAGCAGTTCAATGACAATGATTGAATTCTAACCAAACACAGTCTGACAATCGCTATGAGACTGCAAGTATGGTAAGTATAAAAAATATAAAGAAAAGTAGCAGTATGTTCAGTTTTCAACCAATGAACAATTAAATATAGCCAAAGAACCTCTCTGAAATATCTGGAAGAAACAGAAAGAACAGAAATCAGGATGGTTTTTTTTAATTTATAGCAGTGGCCACATGAACAGAACATGTGGAAAAACAAGAACCAAAGAAGGAGAAAAGGAGCCATGATGGTAAAAGGTATTCTTTTTTTCATCACCTTAAACACAAAGTTGGTACTCTTGTTTGTGTTATTTGACATCGCAGCTTTTGCCCCTTCTGGCTCAGGGCTGGGCTCGCAGGTCTGTTACCCTCCTGGACTCTGAAGGTTTTTCCCTGTCTCTTGCCAGTGGTGTGTTTCAGGTTCTTGCCTTGCTTGCTGCTTTGAGTTCCATCTGGTTTTTCTCTGGTTTCTCTGGCACAGTGGGTGTGATGGGTGTGCCTTTAGAAGTAATGAGGCCAGCTTGTGAGAAGCAGGCTTGCATTCACGCAATGTAGTCTGGTCCAGTGTTGGAATAATATAGCAATATGCAAGCCTTTACTGCTTGGCATAGCTGGACAGGGCTTGTTTAGTCCTTGTTTTTTATGATTTGTTTTCTTTTCTCCTGTCTGGATGTCATTGTTAATCCATCAGCAAAGTAGAAGATGAGCACAGGGAGAGGACACAGGTCATAAACAGCACCAGGGGCAATTTCTGGAGACTTTTTGCATGCTGAGAATAAATAGTAACCAGATAGTTGAGGCTCTTGCTGTGCAGCTGTCCCTTTGTCTGGGAATGGATGTGGGAACAAAATCAGTAAATGCCCCGACACCGCTTAAGGAGCATATTTTGTGTAGATGGATATTAGCAATTCAAAAGCTAAATTGAGATCTAAACAAGGTCATTTGCTTGTCAGACTATTTTTGACATAGGCAGTGTTTAATTCAAGAAGCAGAAGGGCTGGGATAAACAAATGCAGTCCTAAATGGGCAGCTGGCTGCAGAGTGGTTTTGAAGCAGATTCATCCCAAAGGGCAGCCTGCTTGTACCCTCACCCAGATCAGAAAGGCAAAGGCCAATCCTTTCCATGGTGTTTTAGTAGTGGGGAACTCAAGCCGTTTCTGTTCCACTAGCAAGGAAAGATAAAAGGAAAAGCAAATACAAGAGATGTTAATTTAAAATACAACATGCATATATGTGTATGCAAATTAGATGAGACCCTTGGTGTGTCCAACTTAAAGCAATGTTTTAAAAACTGTAATCTGCTTTTTGTAGAATTCCTTAATTCCAGTGTGTATTACAAAATATATGCAGTGTGAATAAAACCTGAGCTTCCTTATAATTCAGTAGTGAAAGCAATAAACAATCTTAGTATGAATTTCTTATAAATAAAACATGATTGCCTCTTTTGTTTAGGGTCTTTAAGTCTTCAGTTCTGTGCTGGTAGCTGGAATAATTAGGTTTTGAAAGTAGAGACTTTTTTCAGTATGAGTTTGTCACCTTGAAAGAGGAACTGTCCTCCATTTTGGAGATTTTTTTCATAGTTTGGGCCTCTGATATGATCCAATACTGCTTCTTTCACACTAGTTTCCTCATCCTACACTCACCAGTGTGCTTTGGGGAGGAGTTTTTGACTGCCTCTGGAGAGCTGCCATTTTTTTTTGTAATTTATTTTGGGTTTGCTTAATAACACTCCCTTTTCCACCATGGGCAGGGTGATGTTCCAATACTTTAAAGAAAATACTTTAAAGAAGCATCAAATAGATCAGGTCTGAACTGATCTCCCCCCTCTCTCTATAAAACTCCCCTATCTCTCTGTAAAAAGCTTTTTGACCAATTCCCTCCTGAAATACCATGGAAGCAGTGTTTGACAGATTTGTGTAGCTATAAAAGCTCTGAATTGCTGTTATTACAGAGATCTCTGGAAATATATTGATAGGCTTAAGTCTCCATATTTCTGATTCCACCTGCTAAACACAGCCTCAGTCTGTCTAAATACCTTTCTCTTTGTTGCCTGATTCATCTGTTAATTTGACTCTGGAAAGTAAAATACATAAATAAATAATATTGCTTTTTCCTCAGCTCTACCTGGCAAGGAAGAGTAGAAGGAGTAAAATACTTCCAGTGTCCACTGTATGAATGCTACTCATAAAAGCTCAAGTAGGGTATGTGCTCTCTTCTTTATTCATTTTTCAAAATGGGGAGTCATCCAAGCATGAGCTGAAGCAGACAGTCTCCTGGATAATAGGAGCCATTGGTTTGATTTTGAATAGTATTTTACACAACTTTCTCTCTTTCTCTGTGTTTCTTACTGCTAAAGTATTTAACTTAAAAGCGCTTAGACATGGATGGACAACTTGCTCAAATTTGGGAACTTTGGGACTTTGAACTTTGTCTTTGGGGCCAAAAATAAATCCAGCATTCAAGGAGTCCTCTGGTGACTTCATCACAGCTCTAAACATTGTTTAAGAGATGAGATGTTTGGGCCAAGCACATGTTGTAATGTCAGCAGCAGTAACGTGAGGTGGAGAACAATGTGCTGCTCACCCCGTTAGTCTACCAGTGCCTATAGGTGTGATGATACTGGGTTTTTTTTGTTTGCTGCTTAGTCATTCAGAAAGCTAGTGATAGCTGCTGACTCGCCTGGATGATGTAAAAGGTAATTTGGCTCTGGTAAATCATGAAATTAAGAAGTCCATGACTGTACATATTCTTGGAGGCACATAGCTCTCCTGGTCAGATGTGAGGCTGCACATGAGAATGTTTCAAGAGAAGAAAGACTGGATCAGGGCATGGATCTATTCATTCTTTTGCTGTCATGAGAGTGATGATGCCAGAGGAGAGAATCCTTGCTTTCCCACAAGTGTATGGACCCTTTGGGGCCCTAACACTGAAGGTTTTGGGAATAAGAGGGAATCGTACAGATTGAATTTTTAGTCAGAAGGAATGTAATATTGTTCATTTCTCTTAACTTAGGAGTCTCTTGAAGTAATACTTATACATTTGCTAACATACTTTACACCTTGATTGCTCTTTATTCATTGTACATCTAAATTTCCTTTACACAGTGAATTCTATGGAAGCTGGATGCTTTCTTTTTGTTCTTTTTGTACCTTTAAATGTGGCTTTGTCCAGCTGAGTCTGCATTTCTTCAACTGACCATGGACAAGCTGTTATAGTGCTGGGGCCTCCAGGCTGTGCTCTATCTCATTGTCCCACGTGTGCGCTTCTCCAGACCACATCCTGTGTCTGTATTTATTAAGGCCTCTTGTACCATAACATACCTTTTATGGAGAAGCTCTCCAGAAAACTGTGCTTATATCATACAAACATGAGAAGAAAAAAAAAAAAAAAAAAAAAATTAGATATAACCACCAGTTATAAGAAAAATTGTTATTATAGCTAAGTTAGGTATTTGCAGGCATGTCAAGAGAAACTGAGACAGAGTGAGCTTGACAAGCTGTACTCCTGAATCCCTGGAAACTCAGCAGGACACCTGTGGGCCTGTACTAGCAATGTCAGGACAGTGTTTACTGGGCTGCAGCACTACATTGTACCAGCTACGAAGTGGTGTATGTTGTCTTCCTTTGTGAAGTGATTCCAGTTAGCAGCATCACTCTTGGAAACATTTTGGAACTGCTTCATATGGTTTTTCATATGTCAAGTCATTTCTATGGCATCATATTTTCTTTCCTAGTAGGATTTGTGGTCCCAGTTCCTGACTTTTTAATGAGAGGGCTGCCAGCAGGATTCAGTCATCCCTGCTGCAGATGGGCAATCATCTCTTACGCTTCATGTCACGGCCCTTCGTCTGTCCTGACTGTTATCTATTCTGGGATCAGGCAGTACCTTGGGGAATATGATAAAAAGCAGGCTCGTTTGTGATGGGCTATGCTGAAGGTTAGCTTAGGTTTTCAAAGGCGTCAATTGCCTGAAGCTCTCTTACTATGTTAAATTAATACACATCAAGGAAAAATGCAGTTAGGCACAGAATGCAGAAGAAGCAAAGAAATATGGCACAAAATTAAACATCAGGTCCCACGCCTACCATAATGTAATCACTTTGATTTGCCTTTTCTGGGTTCACTCCTTGTTCTGTGATTTACATGGAGAGTTCAGAGTATTCCTCCAGTGTAAAAACCAAACAGCCTAGGGGAATTTGGTCTTGTGCAAAAAATCCCTGTACCCAGAGGAACAGTAACCTTCCAATTAATCATTTGAATCTTTTTGATGTAGCAAAAGGTTTGGCACTGAGTTAACACCTTCAGTGCTGCTACAGTAATCAATCACACTGAGTAAAAGTACGTATAGAAAGCAAAGGTTGAATGTCTTCTATGTGTGTTTGTGAGTTGCTCTATTATTGTGCAATTATATAATTACATAAGTATAGAGAGTTGTAGAGAGTAGCATTGTAGAGAGTAGTTGTAGGGAGTAAAATACTTAGCATCTTTTTGTGAACCACAGCTGGCAACTACTTCCCCAGTACATTTCATTATCTCCGTCTCACGGCAATAGATGTTTCTGCTCACCTCTGGCAAGCTCACACCAAACATTGGTGATATACTTCTACTGGACCCAGTCTAATAGTGAAAATAGCTTTTGAGTAACCATGCTTTTCCCAACAAGTTTGTGGTTTCAATTTCACCAGATTCTTCAGATAGCAAGAGTATGTCTGACTGAGAGCCTGGCAGCAAGCGTGTCTCAGCAAAATACTGATTCTGTGTGGGAAACACTGGAGAAATCCATGGACATTTGGATGCAAAACCGTGTTGGGAAACCATATGCCGGTACCATTCTACTCTAAAAAGTAACTCTGCGAAAGAAATTGCACCCTGTTTCCAATTGATCCACATACCTGACAGGGAAGAGCTGTTGTCTCCAGGTAGGCAGCTGTGCTCAGGCAGACTTGTCGGTGTATGAATTTAGCACAGTCTTTATGAAGGTGTTCTTTAACCTGCCCTTAGTGCAATTAACAACAGGCCTTTTTTGTGGGTCTGGTAAGCATTGCTAGCATACATCCAGGGCCTTTCTCTGAGAGCTGCATGCTTCCTAAAGCTATCATCTAAAGTTAGTAATACCTATTTTGTTATTCAGTGTTAACAGAAATGATATAGAGTACATTCAGAGAAGGAGCTATTGTATAAGATAAAGACTCTCTTATAGTCTGGAGAATAATCCCCTATGAGAACAGTTCCTTATTTTAAATCGTTAAAGATAGCTTCTTGCTAGGGAATGCAAGGTGCTGATAACACATTATATTCCTCTCTTGCTGCTTCTTTCTCTTGTATTGATTGGTCCTATGCTGTAAGTATGATAGACCATGGGGCTCATCTTATATTCCTCTGGGTGCTTTGAAGAAATGACTACATTTGTCAAATAACAAAAAAGAATTACCTGAGACACATCAAAAGCAACTTGAAAACCTGCAGTCCCAGGTCAGCTGTTACTTGAAGACTATGCAGCTTCCTTTTGAGTCATTTCTCCTTTGTCTTTGTATAAAGTTCTGTTGAGAGAAGTCTGCATTTGAGAACTACTCATGGGTATTTCTGTTGGTTTTTTTTGGTTTTTTTTGAGGGGGGGAAGGGGGGATGGAGGGGCTCCTTTCCTTCTTATCACCTGGCAAAAAAAGAAAAAAAAATAATATGATTAAAGGGATTGGGTACTTGTTCCATGGCAGCTATGGGGCTTGCCTTGATTAGTTAAAGATTCTTTGCTTGAAATTTCTTTATAAATAATAAAAAAATCAAAGCAACTAAAGTCTCAGAATTGGTCTTTACAGGCAAGTTTTTCTAAATGCTCTTAAAAACTATATCCCATCATCCACTGAAATAGTGATCAGGAATGCAAGGGTAAGTCAGTCTTTCAGGATCTTGAGTCTAAACCCAAAATATGGTTTCCAAGGAGAAATCCTGCAACAGTAATTATTATTAGATTATAATTAGATCGAGGGGCAGGGGCTAAAGAAATATCTGCTGGTAAGAAAAATTTGCATTAAAAAACTGTAATTCTGCACTTCTTTGGATGACAATTTTTTTTTTTTTTTTTGTCAGAATTGAGCTTCTAATAGTGTGAACAAGGACATCTGCTTGTTTCTGCCATATTTTTGGAACAGAAAATTACTATTTGGTCAAGTTATCACTTAATGATATATAATATTCTTTTCATCCTGATTTCCAATTCTGTCTTGTCCTGTGTGAAAAAGAAATCATAAGACCTTCCATAAATATATTTAATGGCTAATTTCCATGCTAACAATTGTAATTTTCCTTATTAAGTAGCTTTGCAGTAGTAGTAGTTCTAAAAATTACTTGGCACGTTCATTTTAGATCATCTAATCCCATCTTTCTTTCACATCATGCCCTTCTTCAAATTATTCTACTGTTTTCCAAGAAAGGGCTTGATAGAGTTGTTATTAATGATCAGAAATTAACACACAATGCCTCACATGTTGTAATTTCTATCCCTTGCTCTGTAGTCATAAAAGAAAGGAAATGGTTTCATTATTTATTTGTTCTTACATTGTTACAGATATGTTAAACTATTTTCTGTAATTCTCATAGAACCAATTTTCTACATCATAATTTGCCTAAAATGCAGTGGACATGATTAGCAGTTGTGTAGTTTACTCTCAGGCTGAGTAGCGTGGCAGCCCACACACCCTGCTACCTCATCCCCAGCCTAGGCTGCCACCCCAAGGGAAACACTGGGGGACAAGAGAGCTGTCTATAGGAATTTCCTTCTGAAAGCTAGACCCCTTCTACCTGAGAGTACCCAGAGTGGCAAGTACATCCTTTTCAATAGCCTTATTCCATTGCTCAGGTGTCTTCCTGCTTTATCACTTTGGGCATGTGTAGAAGTTGAAGACAATGAAATTTTTATGGGATTTCTAAAATATCTGCTTTCTTTCCAGCTCTGTGATGAAGTGAGAATTAAGCAGCATGCCATCCTGCCACCACTTCCTCACCATTGACAGGCGTTTCGCATGGTAGGGCTTGATGTGTTCTCATAGTCATTTTCTGTCCCTTCTCTATTTCCTCTGTTAAATGTCGCTTCAGAAGACAAGCTTTCTCTACTAAATCACAGTGTCTCTGTTTTACTGTTATATGCAGCTTAGGCTGGTCCTGATTCTCCCTTTTTGTCTGTCTGCAGTTTCACAGTCAGTGTATTTTATAGCTCTGTAATAGCAGCTGTTTATGTGTTGCTTGGTTGGATTTTCTATTTCAATCACTACATTTTGGGGAATCTGGTTTTGTCTGGGATTTCACCAGTGTGTTCTGGGCAGTATCTTTTTAGTTCACTAAGGATTTCTGCCACAGTTTCTTCAGGAATCAGATGCTTGGACATGTATCATCTCTTGCAAAAGCCACTAGGCTACAGAAGGATGGTCAGCAGTTATGTAGACTTTTTTTCAAATCTGTTTTTAAAAGCAAAACTGAAATAACTTTAACTGAAGAAAAGCAAATCATGCACATTTCCTGTAATGTCCTTTGTATGTTTTGTAATAATCTTCTTCCCTTCATCTCATCCAGTAATTTTGATCCCTTTATGTTTCTTCTCTGGATGTTTACAAACAAGTTCCTTAACATGAAACACTGAAGGTTATATTTCTCTCTTTTCTAGAATAAATTTTCTCCCTATAAAATTGAAAATTGACCAGAAATTACCACCAAATTAACTTACAAATTAAGTTATTTGTGATTCAGCATTTCTCATTTAATATGACGCACATAATTTCTCTTCTTAATATGATTTCCTTACTATTTCTTTTAGGAGTGTTGTTTTTCAGCAACTTAAAAAGTAGGATTGCCTATGTCTTCATCTAGTTTTCTTTGGTTATTCCAGCTTTATTTATGCTTGTTTATCTTCTTTACATTTTCTTAGTCTTGGTAGTTAGTTGCCTGAAAACATAACTTATGTTCTATTTAGCCCAATATTTGCAGATCTTACTTAAACCTGCTCCATTCTATCCTAAGCTGTTATTTTTCCCAAAAGGAATACAAGACAAAGATTTGCAAAAATCTGGAGTTTAAAACATAGAGAATTAGCTTACTGTTCATAAATGCACAAAAAAAAAAAAAGAAAATTAGTGACCATGCAATAGCTATCATAGAAATGCTGAAATTTTACTTTGAACTTGAATTGAATGCCCGTGTGTGACTGAACGACTTGCTTTCTCTTCTTGTAAAATCTCTCATTTGTCTAAACTATTGACTTTTCATCTGTAGATGATCTCCATGAAGCTCCAAAAACTGCCCCTGTAGAAAGACCACAGGCATTAGGTGTCGTTTCTCCCCAACTGAAAAGCTTCCAGCAATGAGGCTTTTCCTTTTGTTCTTCAGACACTTTTTCTTATCCTCTATTCTATTGTACCTTCTGTTTCTTTGATTGAAATCCCTTGCCAAATGCTTTTGAAAATCTAAATATATCTTCTAAATTTTCCTTTTATCTTGGTAGCAATACATTCAAAGGACACTTGCAGGTAAGATGAATGTCCAAACAAGTATGCAGTAACACTTCAGTGGAATTTAGAAAAATGTACATGTTACTGTGGTAGCTTTACAGATTTATTTATACTTTTTATACTGCTGTATTTTCAAATGAAGTATAGAATAGTAGAATGGCTTAGGTTGGAAGGCACATAAAAGCTCTTCCAGCTCCAATCCGGGCTGCCCCCCACCAGCTCAGGCTGCCCAGGGCCATATCCAACCTGGCCTTGAGTGCCTCCAGGGATGGGGCACCACAACTTCTCTGTTATGGTGTGTGCCAAGGCCTCACCACTCTCCAAGTAAATAATTTTTTCTGAGTATCTAAATTAAATCTCCCCTCTTTTAATTTAAAACCATTCTTCCTTGTCCTGTCACTGTCAAACAGTGTAAAAAGTTGGTTTCCTTCCTGCTTATAAGATTCTTTAAAGTCTTGGAAGGCCACAGTGATGTTTTCCTGGAGGATTCTCTTCTATAGGCTGATCATTACTCTCACTGGAGTTAGTTTGCTCAAAATTTCTCTCAAACTCTATAGAATCTTTCAAGGATTTTGGATAATTTTTGCATGTAAGTTGCCTAGCAAAAAATAATAAATGAATTCCTGACATTTTGTGATAGCACAACGCAGTGAAAAGATGCATAATATGTATTTTTCAAGTGAAGAACAGAGAGAGAGAAAGAATAGCACATCACTGAACTGATACTAACTTTTTGCAGGTTGAGGAAGAATAAGTGTTTTCATAATTTTGAGAATTTGCATTTGTTTTCATGCATAAGCTTACCAATTATGGAGTTTATTAAAATTTCATATAGAAAATATTCATCTGCAAGTAGCTGAAAGCTGTTATGGAATTATTACATACGGCTTGTCCTTTTCTCCCTTCAGCACTTACTTCTGTGCACAGAATACAAGTCAAGATAGACGCTTTGACTGAACCACTTTATGAGCTTAGGTGCAGTGATTCAGTTTCATTTATGAATTCAATACAGCTGTTTATTCCATCAGGAAGGTCCCAACACAATTCTATGCTGAATGACCACCTTTATAAAACTTATAATTCCTTGTGTTAAGAATATTATGCATTATAATTTGTTCATAAAGCATACTTCATACGTGTTGGAAATGTATGTTAAGTAGCTTTTAAAGAAATACAAGGTGAGATGTAATTTGGATCATGAAATAGTGTTTTCTGTAATAATTTGTTACACAGACTGCTCGTATTAGAATTGACTGACTTGCTATTCCCCTATTTTAAATATTCTTTAATTTTCTTTAAGAAATATAAATTTGCATTCTGCTCATCTTTCAGTCTTCTGAAGAGTCTGGTTAATACCAATCCTCAGAATTTTTGAAAATTAAAATATTAAGGGTCACTTCACTCTCCCTAAGTTTCTTAAAACCAGAAAATATGGATTTTTCAGGTGTTAAGTGATGTCCATTGATACTCTCCTGAATTATTAACAAATGGTAAAAATGACCTGTATGCAGCCTGTATAGTTGCCCCTATGTAGATGCTGGGGGATCTCTTATGCTGTGACGTGAATGTGCCCAGGATTCATTATCTTACAAATGGAATAAATGTCCACAGGTGAGGTGATTTTTTTTCTCTACAGACTCATCAGGGTAGTCAGAAGTCATTTAGAAAGGGGCTTTGCAGCTCATTTCTGTAGTTTCTTTGTGTCCCTGCATCACGGGGCATACTGAATCTGAACATCACCTTAAAATGTCAGGTGCTAGCCTTTTGAGCAGTCATCCAGTGAGTCTTTACCGTTTAACGACAGCCTAAATTTAAGCATCTTTTTCACAGAGACCTTGTTTGTTAGGACCACGGGAGGCAGGAGAGCCCATGGAACAAATGTGAGTATTTTATTATTAACTTTCCTGCCTTCTGACAAACACAGAAAAAACTGTGATAAGAGGAACAAATAGTCTGTGCTATTTGTTTTTTTGACTTTGCATCATACAAAATAGAAGTTTGCCCCAGAAAAAAAGTCACATTTCATTTTATGGAGGAGGTCTACATGCTTGAAAGTCCATTTACAGTTAGTGAGGAACTAGGAAAGGTCGAACTTTGCACTTCTTGAGTTACACTGTAAAGAATCAAACACAGGTGATTCTTAAATGGACTAACCAAAGCAGGAGAAGTGCCGGTGGCAATAGCACTGGAAGCTTCCTTTCCTTAAGGAAAAAGAGAACGAACACAAAAGAGTGTAAACTGCTTTTGATTCATGACCTGCCATTTCTGTGCCTGGATATCTGTAGGAAAATTACAAGAGCTGAATTCAAGAAGCAGGCTTTAAAAGGATGTATTTCAGCAGAGACCTCCATCCCAGAAGAAAACTAGATCAAATAAATTACAAACAAGTTCTCTCATCTTTTTGGACCACATGGAGCATTCCAATTTCCCTCCCTGTCATTTCCTCCTTACGTTAGCTCCATGTTTGCGTTTATTTCATACAGCAACACTTGCTCAAGGAAAGGTTTGTTACATAGCAAAAGCTGATGTGAGGAGATACCATGTACTGAATCTTAGGATCATTGAATCATTAAGGTTTACAAAGATCTCCCAGATCATACACTCTAACTGTTAACAACCAATGTTGCCCACATCTTGCCACTACAAGAATAGGTTTCTCAAGGCAGGTGTTGTTATCAGTATTTTTAAAAGGGTCCTTGTTTTACAAAACTTGGCCAAAATGCAGTTAAGATGTATGTATTAAATTATTTTGTGTTTTCCTTTCTGACTGATAATTAATAACATGGGAAACTTCCAGGTTCTAAAACAGTCTTTAAATAAGTAAGGAATCAAAGACTTTTTGCTGAGAGATCTGCATTTGTGTGCACGCTGAAACACAAGCTTTCCCATTGTCATTTGTCAGCCAGAGGCATGGAATAGGTAACACGGTGAAAAAATCTGTTCTGCTAAATACTACACAGGCAAGGCTCAAAAACGAGAATAAGAGCAGCCTAAGGCGTGGAAAGACAGATACAAAAATGTTTGTGCACCATAAATGGCAGTTGATTGTACAGGAAGGATCAACACATTGAATGTTAAGCTGATTTGGCTAGGTTATAATGAATAAACAACAGTATTGCCTAGCGTTACAATGGGTGCCAACTTCCCTGGAACAATCTTCAAGTCTATCAGCTGGAAGTATATATGCTTTCCACTGTTGTTATATGCCTGTTTTCATGTAGCTCTCTCTTTGATTCACATTTACTAGATGCCAAAATGCAAATGTATGTTTTCTGGTGGCTTGAATAATATCTAACATCTTTCTCTCAGGCATGCAGAAGTTAGTGTGTCTGTTAGAAGTCATACTCATAAGACCTTCAGGCTGCTTTTTTTTTTTTTAATTGTTAATATTCTGAACAAATTTTACTGCATCTCACTTAACAGTGAGATACAGTTCTTTGTGTATATAGATGCTAACTATATATTTTAATATTTTCACTTTGAAAATAGTGCAGCAGTTCAGGGAAAGATGATGGTCTATTTGACTGCCTTTGATGCTGACTGTGAAATACCAGGTTCAGGAGCATGTGTTTGGTATATACACTGCAGTTAGAAAGCTCTTTGGAAAGGACATTTAGAAGATGAACCATGAATATTTCCAGTCATCTTATAGCTTGTGAATGATAATGAAGCTCACCTTCCCCGTTGGTAATTTCATTACAGTGATCAGATCAACTCAGAATTGATGCTTCTTAGATTTGGCAATTGCATCTTACACTGTGATACTGCAGGTCATTCATGTGACAAGAGGACTAATCACATTGCTCCTGTGAAGGTTTGTTCATATCTATGTTGTTTTTTTTTTTTCATTAGAATAGCTCCTAAGCCATTTTTCAGACAGCTCGCAGTACTTTGCTACAGGTTATTATTCTAAACAAGAAAGCAACTTCTCTTGAATTACATTGTTCTCTCATTCCCTCAAGCATCAAAAAGACAGAACCATTTTTATTCCAGATGAAAATTCCACCCCCATGTATATCATCAAACATTAAAGAAAATACGGAACTAAATAAATGGTTTTGCTTTGGACAGAGATCAGGCCTCTAGCACTTCAGATTTTATTTCCAAAAGAAAAAAATCAGAATGATAATGTACACACAATTGTGAAAATAACACTGTGCTGTTATGGCTCTCATAATTCAACCTGCCTGATGTTTCTGTGTTGTGCTAAAAGAAATAGAATGTCATAAAGCATTAAATAAAACCTCATGCTAATAGAAGTCTAAATTATAAGAAACGATGTGAGTAATACATGCAGTTAATCTGACAGGGATAAAAACGTATTGGTACTGTCAGTCTTCATGCTCCAGGATGTACACTGATCATTCAAAAAGGTCAGAAAAAAATCATCCCCTCACAGCCCATTCTTCCTCCTTTCACTTCAAGTTTGTTGAATGTGAGCATATTGATTGTTTGCATCCTGGTTTATTTGCTTTTTCTCATTGTTGAATCCTGCTAGAGATTAAATGAAATATTGGTTTAACTTGATAAAATAATTCCTGGCCATGTTTGCAGCAAGCAGTAGTGAGTAATTTTGTGGCTACCTGTGAGCTGATTAGCATTGTATTTGTTTTCTGAACTCCAGCAAAAGTGGTATGTTAGATCTCAGTCTTTGGAAACTGTAACCTGTCTTTAAGCTAAGTGCTATCATCAGGATAAAGGGTTGTCAGCCAATAAACTGATAACTGAAAACTTATTTTTTCCACTTTTTTTACCAAACGGCTAGCAGAATGTTGCAAAAGCAAATGGTGCCTTGGAGATAGAGACCACTTTATGGAAGTCAGAATTAGAAACCAAGGTGCTTGAACATAGAGCTATGTTCCCCAGAAATGCCAGCTGAACAATGCACCTTGTAATTGCTATATGAAAGCAGTAATTCATAGGACAATTTAATGGCATCTTTGTGCTGTTGAGTGGACAGCAATCCCTCTCCATAGTCCTACAAATCCATGGCACAAGCACAGTCCAGAAGGGTACACAGAATGTCTCTTCCAAGCTCCGGATACATACTGTATGATGTACACTCGCATCTGAAATATCACATAAAAAACTCAGGACCTTTTGCAAAAAGAACATCGTCTTCAGCATTGACATAGAAGACAACATCCCAGGGAATGATTTCAGACCAGAAGGGATTCAGCATACATGTTGTTGAGCTAAAAAATGTCTCCAACCTATCTGTTTTCTATTGAATTTTGCAGGTATCTCTTTCCAGTCTAGAGGAAAATACTGTTCTGTGAACCATAGTGTTCTGTGTTGTTACAATTGAAGTGAAAGACAGCAGACCATTCTGTGTGAGGAATTTCTATAAATTATCAAAACTTATATGGGAAGAAATCATTTCAAAACCAATCACGGAGGTAATCCTAAATCTTCTGCAGTACTGTGCTACCATTTGAGGAATGAAAGCAGCTGTGTATAAATAGCACAAAAGGACAAGAGGGAATGGCTTCAAGTAGTGCCAGGGGAGATTCAGGTTGGATATTCAGAAAAAGAGTTGTCAGGCACTGGAACAGCCTGCCTGAGGAGGTGGTGGAGTCACTGGAGGTGTTCAGGAAATGTGTAGGTATGGCGCTTAGGGTCATGGTTTAGCAGACAGTATTGGTGATGGGTGAACAGTTGAGCTACATGATCTTAGAGGTCTTTTCCGACCTTTATGATTTTAAATATGAATTTAAGTTTCTTTTAAATTATGATACAAGACCTTGATGTAGTAGGATAAGTACTGTGAATGGTCTTCAGCATGGATGGGCTTTAAATGTCTTGAAGACAGTAATATGCTTAACAGGGTGACTGAGCACTCTAAATCTCTGGCTTAGGATATCATTTGCCTTAATTACTTTTGGATCAGCTGTCTTAAAGCCCTGGATTGTTCTTGAAAACATTGTGTTGGTGATGCAGTGAAAGTCAACCTATAAACCTGCTAGATAACTTCAATTAATACTTCCTTTCAGTCAATTATATTAACACAATCAACTTACAATAATATTAAAATCTCTAAATAGCAACTTTATATTTCCTTCTTTTTCTTTCTGTCTTCAGAGGAAATTAAAAAAAAAAAAAAATAGAAAAAAAAAAATCCCACTCATAAAATATATAGGAGGTGAAGACATCTGTTATATATTTGCTTTTAGAAATAAAATGCTTTGATAGCCAAAGGCTGATTTTTGAAATTATAAAGAAATACAGGAAAAGTCACTTCCTGAAAACAGTGTGAATTGAACACTCTAGAATCAAAAAGATTAAATCATAAAAGGAAGATAAATTAAAAAAAAAAAAAAAAGGCTTAGGAGGTATTAGATATTTAATATGAATTTGTTGCAGTGTTTCACTGCAGCAAAGAATGAGCCTTTTAGAATACAAAGGGTTATATACACATATTAAAAAAATCTTAATGCTATACGTAATTGAAGAAAAGAAATCTCTGCCAATCTGTGAGATATCTGGTGGAGAAAGAGAAGGAGTTTCATATTAAGGAGCAGTTTTCATAATTGCAGTATGGATAGATAGCAGGCTTGCATTAAGAATTAGCAGCCAATTTAAGAGGAGAATTTTTGTGAAGAATGGATTGAAAGTAGAATAATTTCTTTCCATTAAACTAACTGTCTGTAAAGTTTTGAGTGTTTATAACTCACAACTGTTTCTCATAAGGGACAGAAATCTGATGCTGAGCAAATCCCGAAAGTGTGTGTCATTAATCAGAGCTTGAAACTAATCCATTTTGGGGTCTTTTTACAGGAAGCTGTTTAGGCAGCAGTTCTTATCAAGATGAACTGTAACTGTTGCTTTTACTTACATTGTATTCCATGCCCTGCAAATAAGGTCCTCACTATATGCAAATACTGTCATTTTTGGGAGGCAGAACGTGTGGCAGGACCGTTATATAAGTTCATATTATCTAGCCTGAGTTTACAGATCTTGCCAAGTTGTGTTGCAAATGAAACTGACTTATTGCTGTCTTTTCTTTGTAACACAGGGTCTGTGCTGCTGAAGTGTTCACAAAAGCTGAGTCCATACACACTACTTCTCACTGCTTTCATTTTGTGAGAACATATTCTCATGTTACACTGAAATATTTATTTTACTGACTAAGAATTAACCATAATATGAGTTGTCCTCTTCCATATCATTTGACTCTAATCTGTGTTTGATTAATGTCTACGTAACATTCTGACTTTCCTATAAATTGAGTGGTTATAAACTCCCTACAAGTGATAATGCTTTTTTTTTTTTTCTCGAGTTACTATGATACTTATTTTGAAACATTACCTTTTCAAAATTACTGCATAATTATCTTCAGACATACTACTTGCTATTATGGTTATTTTATTCTGATTTCTTGTACTTCTTTTTGTTTGCCTTCACTGACAAACTTTGAGTTCAAATGCCTTATCATTTCAGGGCTAACCAAAAGTTTAAGGACACTACTGAGGATATAGCCTAAATGCCTCTAGAACATTGGCATGCAAGGTGAGGAGTAAGGACATCAGCCATCTCACTAGGAAGCCTGAAAGGTGACAGCTTCTTTTAGTGCCACCATCCTCACTGTCACCTTTTGTTCTTTTGTAGGCACTGTGGCAGCATCAGGCATTTCTTTTCTTGCATGCTGGAGGAGAGGGTGAAGCAGCATCTTGAGGAGTCCAGCAGCTTGTCTGGAGCTGTGTCTCACTGTCTGCAAGAGTAAAGAATCCTTTTAGTGACCTCCCCTGTTCTAAAACATCAGTGGTCCCACACTGTTACCTCTGGCTTTCCTCCGCCACAGTCAGTGACGAGAATGCAGCACTCCCATGGAGCCAGCTGTATTTTCAACCATCATATGCTCCCCCTGGCAGAAATGCCCTTGGGGCTTCCTCAGGCTGTGCTAAAGGGAGCAAATCCCTCCTCAGCAGTCTTGGCTGAGTGACAGGCTGGTCTCTGCAGTAATTCAAGGAACATTCTTGCTGGAAAGCATACAGCTTTTTCTCTAGAACAGTGTGGGTTTTTTTTTAGCCATAGCTGTAGAAACTGACTGTGCAGATTGATGTGGATACATGTGGAGGTACCAGGCACCTACAGATATGATAAAGCGTATATAGTTTAAATGCTATCTCTTTTTGGCAGAGCTAGGAAAGGGAGAGAGTTTTATAAGCTGCAAGAGACAGGGCAAGTACATATTCTCCTGAAGTCTCCTGTCCCAGGCACCCCATTCCTTCCCAAATGAAGTCTGGAACCAGACAGGAGAGGAAAGCAGTCACAGTGCTCTGCATGCTCCTTGCTCAGTAGCTGTAGTTGTTATGAGGCAGACTTTAAAAAGCTGCCTGATGGTCTGCAGCGTAAAAAGTCCAAGTTCTCAATCTCTGAAATTCATAATTGAACTAATTCCTATAGAGAAAGAGTTGAGTTTGATTTGCTGTTTGAAATATTTGACTTGGAGATCAAAGCAAGTTTGGAGAGGATGGGTAGAACTGACATTGCAATTAACCTGACTTTCTTTCAGCTCACCGTGTTTCCAACTTGAATGTGTTAATCAAGTTCTAACTACCTATATCTCAAATATTTGAGGTTTGTCTTCCAGTGTTTTCGTTGGATCCTTCTGAAAAGTCTGAGTACTTAGGCAGTTTGATACAAGGAATGCCTGAGCTACAGTGCCATTCTTGTAAGCATACTTATACATTTTTAAAGGAAACAAGAGCCTGGTCTACAGGCTGTTCTGATCAATATTGGTGTGCAGAAAATTACTGTAAATGTTTTCATGGTTAAGCTAAGGCAACAATGTTCTTGCAAATCATTTAAAATGTGCTTACAGCTTAAATAAGGACATCTAGTCTGTTGCCTTATTGCTTATTGCATTGAACTGCTCCTGTTTAAGGACCCAGTCCAAATCCTACTGAAGTGCAAAGGGATCCTGTGTTTGGATTTGCCTGGGTTTTGTAGAAACAAGATTCTTTGGACCCTGCTGTAACATTTCTCTATGGAACAGAATTTTTTCAGAGGCTGAAGCTATGGGTGTGTTATCACATGGAGGAAGATGTCAGGGTATTCTCCTTTCCCTCCCATGTGATGAGCTGGAATGAGGCCATTTTCAGTGTGTCCAGGAGGGTCTGGATCTCAAAGGAGTGGAGCAACCCACATCAGAAAAAGTAATCTCTAAGGTCAGAATAAATGCACACAGCAGCTCAGGTCTAAAGCTTATACTGTGCCTGAGCACAAGGGTTTGGATTTTGGATGGTTCTATGTGGAGCTGGGGTTGGATATGATGATCCTCATGGGGCCCTTCCAACTCAAGGTGTTTTATGATTCTATATGTTTTAAACATCCATATTTCTGACTCTTATAACTTGCTCAAAGAACAGCTAGGTGATTACAGCTAACAGTCCACTTCCAGACTGTCAGTGAAAAATTAGATGAGCTGATCACTACTACTTCATGTACATGTAATTATTTTTTAATTACGCTGTTCCATGCTATAAAATAAGCATAAGATTTAAACGCTTTGTGTTCCTTAGTAGCTTCTCTTGCCCCAAAGCTGGAAGTCTACAACCTGTTTTTGTTCATCTTTAACCCCACCTTCTTAGCTTAACTATCTGCACACAGTCTTTCTCTTATGTTTCAAGACATGAAAGAATAGAAGAAGGCAGTAATTTTCATTACTACTATACTCAATCTCTTTGTATATAAAAACTAGCCTCTCAAGGTTCCTCTCAAGTTGCTAGGTATCTGCAATTCTACATATACTAAAATTCAGCTATTTACTCTGTCAAATGAAACAATGTAGGATAGGCTTGATGGATGGTTCATAGAATAGACATTATTCCTGCTTCAGGTCTAGCTGAAATGTCTGATAACTGTGCTTTACACCATGCTCACTTCTATGTGTTCAGACAGATAGTTCATTATTTTTAACACTTCTCATGATGTCTGAATGGTGACAAGAATTGCTACAGTATTGCTTTCTCTTTGTAGGATTGTGATGCTAAGAACTGGAGTAGGTTACATCTGTCTTGATCAATACTTTCCTTGGGATGCATGATGTCACTTCCTTTTCTCATCTCTTCAGTCACCTGTGGGCCTTGTCATTTGCTCTGTCAACATACGTCAGGGAAAAGGCATTGCTAAGGTTCATCTAAACAGTCATGAGAACTTACTATAGCCACAAGTCAAACAAGAGTACTTAAGCTTGCTGTTCCTTCTGCTGTTTTTCTCAAATGCTATAGACAACAACAGCAATCTGGACTTCAGGGACTCACTGGTTTGTTCTCTTCTATATTTTTGCTTGTTTTGGTGCCTGCTTTAACTTAGAAGCTTGTCCGT